TCTCCACTATGTGTTGGATGGTTTGATCTGGAGCTCCACGGTCGCAGCTGGAGGTAGGCTGTTTTGCACATTTATGTAGATTGTGTGCGCATACTATATGTCCCGTTCTAATTCGGTTTAGGCTCTTCCATATGCTTCGAGGCTGGTCGAAGCCATCAGGTTTTGGACTGGGTCAATAAGGTTGGATACTTCAGGTGGGGCTTCCTCAGTCCACAGCGTGCGTCATCTGGAGGTAACATTGAAATCATCTGCTGTTAGCTGTTCGTATAGGTGGTTTGTGGTTTTCTGGATGGAAGTCGGTTTGCTGCTAAACTCGGGATGTCATCATGGATTGGTAGTTGCAAGTTGCTATCTTTCGAATACTCCTCTATCAAGGCCTTTTGTCTTCGTAGAATAGGCGGAGGAATATGGCTAAGGATCGAAAACCAATATAGTGGAGTAGTCTTGATGCAGCCGCTAATCATTCTCATTGCTATATTAAGCTGCGTATCAACTATTTTCACATGACGACTATTTAGCTAGACCGGTGCACAGTACTTTGCCACAGAATAAACCAAACTTAGCACAGATGTTCATAGTATGTCCGCAGATGCGCCCCAGTTGGTACCACAAGGATTCTGGATAAGGTTATTTCTACTACTTATTTTTTGTGTAGAATATTGTAGATGTTTTTTAAACGAGAGAATCCTGTCCAAGGTAAGAACCAGATATTTTGGCTAGGGTTGGTAGGGTAGTGCTACATTTCTCATTTTGACCTCAAATTTTTGGTTTGCCTGTTTGTTATTGAGGTGAAAACAGCTTACCTCAGTTTTATTTTTTAAATTGGGTATCAGGCGCCATTTTGTTAAATATTCATACAGTTTGTTGAGGTCGTTTGTCAGCACTGTATATATATATATATATATATATATATATATATATATATATATATATATATATATATATCGATACATTTTTGGCAAAGTAACGTAAGTGACATTTTTGGTGAAAATTATATTTTTCAATTAAACTAACACTATTATTGTTAAAAGGGTACTGCCAAAGTGTAATAAGCGTCGAAATACTTTAAACCTTTTTTAGAACAAGTAGGACAAGTTTTTTCAGTCATAATTTAAATAATTTTAACCAGGTTGAATTAAAAAATTGTTTTTTCTACAAATCGTGTTTGGTGACTTACGTTACTTTGCAAAAAATGTATCGATATATATATATATATATAGTTGTATATAAGTTGAAAAGCATCGGAGCAAGGACTGATCCTTGGGGTAGTCCATTATTTAATTTCCTCTGTTTGCTTATGTCATTACCGTGGATAACCTAGAAGTATCGATCAAAGAGCGCATATTGTTTATAAGTTGCAATATTCTTTGGCAAGAAATAATGCTATTTCATGCGGATTAGAAATAACATGATTAGTGTTGATAAGCACACATGAACCCTGCAAAACTTCAAGTCAAAATTTTTTGAACTCCGTCTGGTACAGGAGAGTTTCAGTTAAGAAGCTCTTGATGATGTTTGAGAGTTCTTTAGCGGTGAAGGGTTCATAGGGATACAGATTTAAGCCATATGGCCTTTACTCCCTCTAAGGGAAAAATTCACTCATCCCAAATACCTACAGTAACAAAAAGATTGGGCTTTGTGGAGTTCTATCCGTGTTATAGAGCTTTCTGCTTTGTTTTATAGAGATGTTCCCTAAGATTCAGATGTTTAATGTTCTCTAGAAGGTTCTTCGGAATGACTCCAGTAGTACAGAGTAGTAGGTATCGTCTGGATACTTTCCATTCTCCATTGTGTCCTTATTTGTATATCAAAATATCTATACTTATCGATTTTTTCGTTGTATTAAACACGCAGATTATAGTTGTTGGGTATCGTCACAGTAGTTTGTCTAATTAGTTTTATTGTCTACTTAATTGTCTAACAGGTATAAGAACCGGTCTCTTATGTGCAACTGGTTGGTCTGTGAGCAAAGTGCGGTCCCAATGTTGTAGTTGTAGTTGTCGTTTTTAAGTATTCTGTCAGGGACGTATTGATAATCGTTGGTTTGAAGATGTCCTAATTTGTTGACTAGTTTTTGGTGAATAATCTACCGTACTGTCATGTCATTTTTTGTTACTAATTTAGAGAAACGTCTGACAGTCACTGGTAATATTTTGGATGGTGGGTGGGCTTGACATCCATATCGGCATTTGTCGTTTTGGATTTGAGGGTCTTTGACAATATATTTCAGGTAATTTTCGTTTAGAATAACCTGATCCTAAATGGCAAATAGAAAACCTATTTCAGGAAACATTTTTATTGCTGTTAGCCAATACTTCGACACTGTATTATCGACATAGTCTTGGCTGAAATCATTTGTTTGTGTCCATGCAGTGGTTTACCCATCCAGATGGGCATTTTTTTCTTACTTAGAAAGATGGTTTATACTCATTTCTGGTTCCGTTAGTTTGAGAAGTGTTATTCTATCTACTGTGCAAATTCAGTGATGTAAAGTAGATGCCTCCCCTTGAGTTTTCGTGCTTGCTTTACTCCAAGATATTTGTACATATCTTTGTCACCCATGGATTCGATGTCTTTGGCCATTTTGCATATCGAATCCTCGAGTTTGAACCTTACCTCTGACTATATTTAGAATGTCCTAATATAAATCGAGAAAGTTTCTACAGTTTTTTGCACCTGATCTAGGTAGTGTCTAGTGGAAGCCATTAATTTCAAATCATCCACGTATAGTAATCGATTCAGCTTGTCTACTACAAGACCTTTCTACATGGTCTCCCAGAGCCGTTACTATTTGGTTATTTATTTTCGCCACGTCTATGCGTGTAACCACTCTGTGTGCTTGTTCTTTGTTACAAGTTCGATTTTTTCCCTCTTGAAAATTATTACAGATTTTCCTTGCACAGCTTTCTGGTCACTAGTTACTCAAGTGAAAATACATGAGTGTTCCAAATACTCATGTATTTGTTTCTGTGATTATTTATTTTTGATTAGATAATATGTAATCTATCGTAGTAACACCATCGTGACTTACGAATGTCCATTTTCTACCGGAAGCATTTTTGAAGAAGATATTCTATATACAGATTATGTTCCATTGAGAACTGTAGCAGTCGTGTGTCTCTTTCTGTCTTTGTAATTATTCCGTGGAAACCATTCTTTCACCTCTTTTTTTACTCATTTTTTGCGTTGAAATAGCCAATTATTATTGCATAGTGAGTTTTTGAATTATCCATCCAACTTGCAATATCTTCGTAAAACATATCCACATCTAAACCGCTACATGAACATGATATAATGTAATCTTCCGATTATACAGTCTTGGTATTGGGTTAGTGTATGCAATAGTCATCATATTCGGTAACCTTTCTATATAGTCTAGAAATTGTTACCATCCTTCGTTCTTCGCTACCGATCATCCGGTTGCTAACAAAATATCCAGGGCCATCGGAACTACCGAAACCCCTTTTTTCCTGAAAAGTCGTTTGGAGAAATTGACCAATAACCTACTACGCTGGCCAACGCGGGTTGGTAGGTGGTATTGATATAGGAAAAGAGTTTGACGTTTGGATCGGATAATACTGGGATTTTAACCTGGTGTCCTTAGGTTATGGGTGGGAGAAAAAAAGGAGCTCGTGTGTGCAGGTGAACCAAATCCCTTAAGTAAGTCTATTCTATATCGGGATAACAGAGAAGTACCTATCTGATACCGCTACACGAATATTATATAATTCATTTGAATCTAACACTTTAATTGTGCCTTCACATTTTGTATCCACATCCAAATTTAAAAGGTAAACAGATACCGGCTTGTTTGTTTTGGTTGTTCATTAATTGTTGCTGGGGTGAAAACTTTCAGATATATGTTATTTTTATTTCTACTGTTATCAACAAACGTTCGGCCAGACAAGCCTGAAAACATTTATGTACTCCTTAAACATGAATTTTATATACCACCTTATTGATTTTGTGGTAAATGTGATCAGGGTGTACTTTTAAACACTCCTATAAATACATTACGTAATGTCATTGTTGGATTTAAATTCGATTTAATGGAGGTGATTATAAAGTAATTAGTTTCTTATGTTAGCTCAATTTGAGTGGTTTCCTTATGCTTCAGAACTTTTGTAAATGAGGTTTTACTTTGAATGACCTTGTTTATGAGTTGTATATATTTTACGTTCATAACAAATACTTCTCTTCTGTATATGTTACAAAAGTAACCAAAAGAGATTAAATGTGTTTTATGTTATCTTATTTTCTTTAAATTTATGTGAAGGAAAGCAGAAAATTGTAAATTAGTCATGTTGTGGTATATTTGTTTTGAATATTCTTGTGTAGGAGTAACGAAAGTATATACGAAAGTTTTATTTCATGGTATTTCTAATGACGATTTTTTTAATGGATTATCTGTTTATGGATTTCTATGAATTCAAAGTAATAAATAAATAAAAACAAAATTCCTGGATACAAGGAAAATGAAAGATTTATTATTAAATGCAATAAGACGATAAGACGATTACTCTTCGTGTAACTTTGCATCGATTTGTATACGATTTCACTAATTTTGAGTAATTTTTAAGAAACTTCCGACCATAACTTTTTAACCGGAAGTTATATCAAAACCGAAAGTACATATTTGTTCTCGGCTTACTAAGGCTCATCGAATACATCGCTTGTTCTATTTCGGCGATTTTAAAACAGTACTTCCGGTTGCAACTCTGAAACCGGACATCCGAAGTCAAATTTCTCACCTGATACCATCTTCATGGATATGGATGGTATACAGATCCAATATAATGGATTAATCAAGGTTTTCACCATGTTTTTAATGTTGTAAAATGGGTGAAAACAATATAGAAAATTTGGTACTAGATCACTACCCACGGAAATATAATTCTTAGAAGATATCCTTTTCCTAATTAGTAAATTCAAAATTAATTTATATCAGCATGTATGTATTAAACATAAAACACAAATACATAATAGGTTACTTAACTCACCTGTCAGTTGATTTTGAAGTGTATTTCTTTCTCTTTTCAACGTATTTATCTCATCTTGTAGAGATCCAATTTTATTGTCAATATTTTTATAGCAACAATCTCTACTTATTGCTTTTGCTGGTCTACCTCCTTCCATAAGTGTATTCAGCCTTTTTATTTCTTGATTGCGATTTTCTAGCTACAATCATTGTAAATGAAGAAACTTCAATGCATATAATTTAATAGTAAGATAATAGCGAACATAATTTATATAAATGAGAAGAATGCAGTAAAAACGGAAAATATATTAAAGAATTATATACAGAAAAAAAATTTAGCAGTAATTGTAACAAATAATGATAAAAGAAAAGACATATAGCACCCGAATCATTTAAAAGAACATCAAAATATATACTCTTTCTGGTTTATATCCGTCAGTGGTAATGTCATTCATTATGGCCATTTATACTTTGTTATGAAAAATATGTAGATGGTAATAATATGAACTAGTTTCTTTAATTTGTAGTCAATATAATCTTATTTGGCAGCTAAAGTGATTTATACTCAATATTTGTTGTAAGAATATGGTATTTCAGTTTTTTCTTTGTTGTAGTTTTTACTTTTTTATATAAAATAATACTAATGTTAACAAACTCTTCTCATATCTGCTTATATTAGGTGTATGGATCTTTCAAAATATTATCAAATCATACACACAACTATTTTCAAGTCCTTTAAGGGTTTCTGTTTCTGCTGCTTATTATATTGAATACATTTTCTAAATCAAAGGTCGACATTAGAGTGAATTGTCTGCACTATTTGTATATTTGTTTATCTTTCCATCTCATTTTCCAATAAGACTTTCCATATAAATATTTCCACATATTAAACACATAAATATTTTATAATAGTGGATAATAGAAAAGCTTCCCGGGTATGTAGTAAATCTATCAAATGATAGAAATATATTTCTATCAAACTCATTTTTGAGTGTAGTTTTGCAAGCACCAATGGATTAAGAGAAAAATGGATGAACTAGAAAAATACTGTAGAAATAATAACATTCTCAAAATTATATATAACACCAGCTAGTTATAGCGACAAATAAATAAGGCAAAAATAAAAACTCTACCATTATCAAAAAATTCTACAAAACAAGTGACAAAAATATTTTGTTGCATTCTATAAAAAAGAGAATGATAATCATCATCATCATCAGTAGCATCACATCTCGGTATGAGCCAAAGCCTTCTTTAGAATAATCCACCATTTGCCCCTGTCTCTGGCAACTCTTCTTCGATAGATTTTAAATAATTCTCAAGTTTGTCTTGATAACTAAGTTTCGGTCCTCTTCTGGCTCGTTGTCCCATCGGCCCTGCTCAGTCAAAAACTTTTCTGATTGTTGATTACATGTGCTATCCATCTAAGACATGCTACCTTGATAAATTTTACAACGTCAGATTCCCCAAAACTTCTATAAAACCTCAATCTCAAAGTTGTAACTCTTGCGCCACAAACCTTTCTCTTTTATTTCCCCATATAGTATTCTTAGGATTTTTCGCTCGTAATATTTAAGCAGTTCTTGGTCATTTTATAAGACCAAAACTGCTCTCGAAACTCTTAGGAAGACTGCTCCATATGTTGGTACACTTGTGTTTTATAGACTGCCACTTTAAGTTTTCTGGGTAATTTTGAGGCCAACTGTTTTCTCAAACCATAGTAACACTTATTGTCAATATTATTCTTTTAGTAACACTTATTGTCAATATTATTCTTTTAATTTCTTCGCTAACATTGTTATATTTAGTCATCAGCGAACCTAGGTATACAAACTGGTTGTTTGACCTAATACAATACGTAATATATTTGGTCTTTTGGGCATTCATATTTAGTCCCATTCTCTGTGCAGAATCGAGTTAGAATCTATGGAGAAGCTATGAGCATATTAACGTATGTATTAAAAACGGCGTAGGTAGGCGTGGCTAACGATAATACCAATATGACGATGACATCTGGGCCAGACTCAATAATATTAAAACTACTATACAAATATGACTAGTTATTCAGAATATTTAATCATAATCTAAAAAAGTGCAATACATTTTTAGTAAACTATGATTTATTTATCCCGCGGTAAACACTAAAAACACGATATATTATACATAAAGATAAATTAATACAGTCAAATACTATTAATTTATTCTCTGAAGTACGAGCCATTACTTTGTTTACATATTTGTATAAAAACCTGTGGAACGATATTCCTGAAGATTTTTTATTAACATTGCTTCTGCTACTGCAACTACGTTGAGAACAAGAAACCATTATTATGCACTATCACAATATATTACAGTTTCTATAAAAGTATTATAAAACTGAAAATATTTGAAAAACAACAAATGTAAACAAACATATACGATCTGTCAAAAGTTTCAAAACAATATTAATAATATGGCCGAAGTAAGGTCGTTTTTAGTCACGTGAGGCCCTCTCCATAGATTCTAACTCGATGCTGTGCAGTCATCCTTAACCACCGAAATGCTTCAGTCAGAGACTCTGTGGATCTAACTATGATATCGTTATCATCTGCATATCCGATAACTTATAGAAGATAGTGTCATTCGTATTAATCTGGGACTCTCGAATTACTTTTCTAGAGCAAGGTTAAATAAAAGACACAATAGTCCATCTTTAACGAGTTTTGAAAAAATCGTTCTGGATTATGACCATGGTCGCTGCTCCTGTGAGTGTAAGTTCAGTAAATTGAACAAAATGAAGCAATATTTGGAATTATATTGTAGCCAGAAGTTATTGTCTAATAACTGAGCCTTATGCGGCTTTGAAATCCATGATTATATGGTGGGTGTTGACGTCAAACTTTAGGATTTTTAAAGAATCTGCCTGACTTTGTTATTGAAAGCCATAGCTTTCTTATCGAGGGCTACGGACGGAATGTATTGACCGGCGAAATGGATCACGCAGAGGTGTGAAAAAATAAAAACAAAAGACACCTGATGAAACACGATGAAACCATAGATCTTACGACCACACACTACATGTAATAGTAAATGCAGTCCCATGCTTATTTCTTAATAAAACAAACTAAACTGAAATAAAATTGAATCGAATAAAATAATTAAATTAAAAACCAGCGCTCCGTGCTAGACGATACGAAAGCTATGTTTGGCTTCTCTTGTTTCTTCTTTAGCAGTTCTTCAAAATGATTCGCCCGTCTATTCCTTGTTACTAATTACAGAACTATCTCTATCTTTACAGGCTATTATTCTGGGTTTGATTTTTTTTTTCTATAACTTTTTGTCTATTGACAGAATCTTGTGAGTCTTTATGGTGATCAACAATCTCATTTAGAACGTATTTATATTGATCCTTCTTTTTCCTTCTAAACGTTCTTCCTTCTTCTCCTTGAAGGTTTTCATAGTCTTCCAGAGTTAATCTCGTTCTGCACTGCTGAAGTCTCTTACATGCTTCATTTTTTTTGTTTGTTTGTTAACAGATCTAAATTTTTCATTGAACCGATCTTCGTTTTTTCTGGCCTTTAAAACGCGCTTAGCAGCTGTGTGCATAGCTTCTTTACATTGAGCCCAGTGTTCTTCTACACTTAAATTTTCTTCAATCTCGAAGTAGTGCTCAGAATTAATATTAGCACCACTACATGCTCTTATCTCCAATATGTCGGAGAAATGTCAAGTATCAATAAGTTCATGGTCAATTTGTTTTTTTGTCTGACCATTTGGAGATTGGCACGTGGCTTTATGGATATTCTTGTGAAGGAAACATGTACTTACCACAACCACTCCGAATGATGCAGTGAGTTCTGTCAAGTGTAAAATTATTTTGGTTACTGAATGCATGAAGACTATGCTCGCCGATAGTTTTCAATAGATTGTATCTTGACCAACTTATATTTAGATTAGCGTTAAGATTGCCAATAATAATGTTTATATCGTTATTCTGACATTGCCTAGGCCTAGAAGTACTTTCCAGTTTCTCATAAAATAGGTCCTTCTCCTTGTGATAGCGAAAGAAAGTGTATAGCCATTTAAAGAAATCGATGAAGGTGACAGGACAAGGATTATACTATAAACATATAGATGCACAAAGAAGTAAGTTGGGGAGATAATTTATCTTCACTACTTTTTATGCTGTTTACTTGATTCATTACTTAAACAGATAAATGGTATGTGACTAGTAAATAAAAATATGACATAATTTAAAAGATTTACATTAATATTTACATTAAGATTAGATTACATTAAAGGGTGGATTAGTTTTTCTCTATGATAGTTTAACACAATTTGACAACAAAAAATATCTGGTATCTATGAACGACTAAATCAGAATAAATACAACATTTGAAAAGTCTATAAAAATATTTATAATAATAAATACATATTACTTAATAGAGTAAACTCAGAATTCTCAATACCTACATAAGATTAACTTTTTTACCTATGCATCTTTAACTTCAAGTAGAATATCTAGAATAAAACAACTAATTCAATATAGTGCAATATTAGGTATATAATACGTGAAAGATTGGGAAATTGGCTTCAGGACACTCAAGACTTTTTTATAATTTATGGAAATAATTATTCAGTTAAGGTGACCCATTTATTACTAATACTGTTTCAACAAGAATTATTTAAGTAATTCAATTTTACCTGTGCTAAAAGTTATTAGACAACCCTTTTTCTAATCCCATATCATTAAAACTCATGTGACAATAGGAATTAAATTTATTCCTTAAATCAGTCATAAGTTTATTAATTTAAAAAATTTGTTCTAAAATCCTGATTATTGTTTTAATAAAAACTGCACGCCTTTGACTTGTCAATTTCTTTTTTCCTCAAACCCATAAAGGTCTAGATTGAAAATATGAGTCAGTTTCTACAATTCTGGTACTGTGAAATATATATATATATATATATATATATATATATATATATATATATATATATATATATATTATTTATAGCAATTGAAGTACTGGGTTACTGAGATGAAATGGATATCCTGGGATGATACAACACAGCAAAAAATCTCGAGGGCATTTAAGAGATGCCCAGCCTCATACAAAAGTTGGACAACAGAGCCTATTAATCAATTATTTGAATTGAATTAAAAAAATTATAGTAAAAATAATGAATAAGTGTTATGTCAATGAGAAGAAGAAGAAATATTTAAGCTAACTGTTTAAAAAATTTCATGTTACCTGTGAATTTAAATAATCATTGTTTTTTAAAAGATGCAGCTGTTCTTCTTTTAATTTTTTAATCTCTTGACTAAGATAGGCTATTCTAGAATCAGCTGTAGCCATGGCAGTGCTTAGTTGGAATTGTCTGTTTTGTTCTGCTTCTTGTTTTGACTTTAATTTGGGAGACTGTGCCTGAAATTTGTAATTTGTGTGACCTGAAAAAATAATAAATTAAATACACTTCGCAAAACTGTTGCTAAATAAACCTTACCTCTCTTTGTTGTTGATGGACTTTTAAAATCAGATTGTAGTTCTTTCAATTTATCTATAAGTTTTTGTTTCTCAATACCACAATCTGTAACCTGGTTTTCTAATGATAATATTTTAGTTCTTAAATCTAAAACATAATTTTAACCACTCAGAAATATACAATAAAAATAGGATAAAAATGTAAAATGTCAATAGAAATTTTTATAAATGTAAATATTTTAAAAATGAATATTCCACTGTTTATTTAAAATATCAATAAGTAGTTACCCATAGAAAATGAAGATCAATAAAAAACCAGGACTACAAATCTAACTTATTGATCTGTACTCCACATAATTTTGTAGACCTACATAGTTTTCACAAGGTAAAATATTGCAACAAACCTTTCTAATAAATGATACATTTGGTACAGACACAGAAAAGATAATCAATTTAATACAATTTGGTAGTACATATCTATAGTGGTATGGCAAAACTTGAAATGTCCAACTTTTTGCCAAAATTAGATTATTGGCTTGATATATCATTTAGTAATATATCTTTAAATTGGCGGAGTTTGATATGATATGCAGTGAAGGTAACATCATTTAAATTGAGAAGGAAATACATGATATGTCAGCTCTGGTACTTTTTAGATATGATATTACATATCAAGTTCTACCTAATCCCATACCTTAGGTCAAGAACCTCTGACTATGGTGATATGTCACATATTATGTTTTGCCACTTGAGCTATTTGTGAACAAAGTTTGGGAGACAACTTTGCATAGGTATGGTAATAGTTGATATATCAATCTAGCCTTATTTTTCAGTAGAGCATTTTTAAAGTTTGAAACACCTCCTAAATTCTTGAAATCAAATTCTTCAAAGTAAATGACAAGCAATTTTTTTTTCAACAAAGTCTGTTTAGTGAATACCTTTTTTAATGATTTTCTTCAGAATAGTAGACATATCATGCTTTGCTAATCCATAAAAACTAAAATGTGTAGATATAGGAAATTAGTTTATTTTACAATAAAGCTTAAAAAATCAAAAGCTTTTTTTTTAATTAACAAATACTACGATTTTTTAATTTTTGGCACAGACTGACAAGACAAGGGAATTGTAGAATACATGGAACTTGACAGGGATAAACCCATGGACATAGATAAACCTCAAAATAAACAATGGCGGTAGATCAACTTTCTTGAGGGGGTTAATTGGCAATGGTCCATGATATGCCAGCTCTAATGTTACAGTTAAATATATTCCTCTTTCTGATCTACTCAAGTCCAAGGCTCACTGACGTTCAGAGTTCATTTAAAGAGGATTTTGGCAAAAGGCTAAACATACCCCAGCTGTGTAATGTTTATCCAATTTATTTTTTCGCCTTCAAAATCATATGTTTTTTTTATTAGGTAGGTTTTCAGAAAATTCACAGTGACTGCTTTTCCCCCTTATAGTTGTGGTACCATAATTGGGTATCATAATTGGAATATTAGTGGTTTTCTTCACTGTTTTACTAGAATAGTCAGTGTCATATTCAAGATAAGTATGTTTAGGAATAAGAAACATCTGGTCAATCATTAAATTATTTTTCTGGCTTAAAACATAGCTTATCATAGCAGCCATATTAATATTGCGATTTTTAGCACTGCATGTGTTGAAGTAAGTGATAATCTTAATTAATTCTTCAAGTTGGGGTTTAATAATTTTAAAAACACATTAGGCCACCTAATTTCAGCCCCTAACTGCAATCTCGCATACCAATGCTACATGAAAAAAGTTGTACCACCATTCTCACTGCACTCCCTTATGGTTTAGGAGTGTCTTATTACCTTTTGCAAATCAAACACGAGTACAACAGTAGTTTGATTCATTTCGTGCAAAATTGTATCTTCTTTCTTTTAGTTGTATGCCATATCCGCTTCAATTTTATGCTGGTCAAATTTATGCAATAGTTGATGTTCTTAATAAAAAAAATTGTAATAAGTATTATATGTTAATTAAAAAAAACTTTCGATTTTTTGATGTTTTATTGTAAACTAAACTAATTTCTTATTTTTATACACCAATTTATATATCTATTTACTTCTTGTGTTTGGGTTGGCAAAACATGATGTCTGCAATTCTGTAGAAAATCATTCACTAAGCACTTAGCTAATTCCAAAAAATAAATTTCGATACATATGTAATGTGGTAAGTTGACTACTTAAAATTTACAATCATGAGATTCTTAATATAAACACTTCTCTGTTACTATTTCACTATACCATTAAACTTTCTTGTTTTTAAAATAATTTATTTACCTCTTTGAACTTTTTCATGTTCTTCTTTAAACTGTATGAAAGCTAGATGTAACTCATTGCATTCCTTCACAAGTTTTGCATTATCACATTTATATGGCTCAGCTCCTAATTGTAAAGTATCCCTTTCCTGTAAGAAATGAATAAAAGTTGTGCCTTATTAGTTGTCAACCTCAATATATTAAGCCAAACTGACATTTAAATAATCTTAATTTTTATATCATGAAAGTGATGTTTAAATTCTAAATAAATTCATTATACAGTAATTTCACTTTTTATTAATTTGCCCCAAAATTTAAAGAATTATTTTAATACACATTTCTCCTAAATCCTGTTAATTAATAATTAATTTATTAAATCTTTAAGTAGGTATACTGCCAAAAGAATGAATAAACAAATGTTTTTATACTAACTTCTAAGGCTTGTTGGGAGATTTTCATGTACTTCCTTAGACTGTCTGTGGTAATAATTAGATCGCCAAGAAGCCTTCGAACTAATGGCAAACATTCTGGTCTTAAGGTTTCAGTATATCCTAATTCGTTAAGCTCTTTTCGGATCTGTGCGAACGATTTTTCCATTTTACTTTTACAGTACCTTTACAATTAAAACTTAATCTATCTGAGCTCATGGCAAATCTATAGTAAAATTACATTTTATTGTCGACAATATAAATATATATTATTAAAACAGTCAGAGTTAATTTAAAAACCAAATAACAATACAAACACTCAATACAAACACAAAATTTAAAAGTTCGTCGTTGTTTTGACAGATTTCTTCTTCTTTTTTAATATTTATTATTATCGAATAATTGATTTCGCATAGTAACATACTGGTTAACATATTATGTTATAATTATATTAATAATTAATATGCATTATTATACGTCAAACTGATACAACATAACATATCATTTAAAAAATACTTTAAATAAATGTAAATAAATACTGTACGATAGGCAACCAAGCATACGGCGGAAGGTATGGTGGTAATTCTTCTATAGCCCAGGGAAATAAGTTTTTCTTTCGAGACATTCGTCCGGCCAGGCAAATTGCAGTTGCTTTGAGTAGTTTTTTAACTTATTGCTTTGACTTTTGAATTAGTTATTAACAAATGAAGGTCAATAAATGGTAAATTTTCGCTTTTTTCGTCCATCAGCAAAAAGTGAAGCTTGTTTAAATTTTTTTGTCTGCTCTTGTGTATGTACGATGTTTTTTCTATTACTACAAATACATATGTATATTGTATATTTTATTCCTATACTCCATTCGCTTAGCTCGGGCATATTTTGACAGATTCATTGTCGAAGTCGAAAACCTACAACACAACAATTCCTACTTCTCAGTATTAATAGCTCAAGTATATATATTACTCATCGAGCAAAAAGACAAAAGAGGGAATGTAAAGGTAGTGGGGGCAAACTTATTGTTAGACAGGAAGTGCGATCTTTAGAGGCCACATTAAACAAGGAAAGAGAGTCTCTCTCCTTGTTTGACATCAAATTTAGTTGGGTTATGTTATTGTTTGTCCCAAATGTCACATGAAATCTTATTTATATTGAAGTTTTTTAACAATTGTGTCGCATTTTAGACTCTTATCATTAATAATTAATTAAAACTTTCTCGTCTAAGACACATTCTGAAAAATATTATACAGCTACTGTTAATAAGTGTCGGAAAATTTAAATTTGGCGCATTCGCATTTCCGGATATGTCCGCCATCAGAGGCCACTTTTTTGGTCTCCTTTTCATAAGCGTTAGATTCCCTCTTTTGTCTTATTGCTCGATGATATTACTATTGCAGACTTCTTTCTTTGAAAAAAGAAGAATGATTTTAAATAGTGGAAGTGTATACTAAACCCATCAAATTTTGGGTAGTATAGGGTAAACTGGTCCATAGTGGGACGTTTTTTTTCAAAAGTGTATAGCACCTTGATTAAGCGTTTGTTAATTATAGTAACGATACCTATGCATGGATATGGATGTAAGGAAGTAAACTAATAATAATTTTAAGTAATCCTTTATTTATAATAAATGTTATTCAACAAGTCCCACTATGGACCACTCGTCCCACTATGAACCACTATATGGTCCATTGTGGGAATCATAGTGGTTCATAGTGGGATTTTTAGTAAAAAACTCTTTTAGTTATTTTAAATTGTAACAAATTAACAGGGAACATAAACAGGCGAGCAGCCCTAGCTGTACTTCCACTAATGGCAGGAGGGGACAGGTTTAACAAAATATCTTCTGCTTCTACCGTATCTACATCGGGTTCATCGGGGAAAACAAATTTGCCGGCGACAATTCTCTTCATGAAACAGATATTATATTCATCTCTACTTATTTTAATAACCTGACCGACATAATGTTTAACAGTTTTTTTTGTCATGTATCTAACTATAACATAGTCATGACTTTGAATAGACAAATCTTTATTTTCTGATGTGAAGCTTTCTAAATCGCTAGAATCGTTGCAGTATTCTTCACTAACATCACTGTTCGAACTAATGTCGTCATTAAAAACTTGACGTTTAACTTTTGTAGCCTTCTGCTTTATCTCTTCTGAAAATGTTTTTTTAGTCAATCTTTCTTTATGCTGTTCCTCTATGTCATCTTTTTTGGGGGTGTCTGTTATTATTGCTGACTGTAGCGTCTTTCTGCTTCTTCTAAGGTTTTTCCTAGGAGCAGCTTTGGCATGTGGCCTAATTTGCTGAGGGGTTATTATATTGGATGGGCCATTCGTTACCATTTTCATTTTCATTTTCTTCGGACCTTCGGAATGTTGACAGGAGTGAATGCTTTAGGGTAGGCGGTACCAACAACATTACAGACATTATAAATGCTCATAGGTATGGCAGGATGATTTAGCATGCAGTCATCAACTCCTTGGTTATAATAGGTTTTAAATGGAAAGAAGCAACTCACGTCGAGCGGTTGTAATTTATGACTGCTATGGAGCGGCAATGTCAATAAAATAATCCCATTCTCTTTACATAGATTCAGCACACGAACATCGTAACGGCTCTCATGGTTGTCAAGAATTAATAGAACTTAGAATTCTTTACTGCATCGTACGTGTTTGATAAAGTGCTCTATATACTTTAAAAAATTATCTCCCGTCATCCAACCAGAAGGAAACGCTGCACCGGCTGATCCTAGAGGAGCCCCAGTAAGCATGAAAGGCTTAAATATTTTCCTTGGGAATACAAAGAATGGAGGCACAAAAGTCTCATTAGCGCATATTGCAGTGCACATTGTTATTAATGTGCCTCTTTCAGCGCTTATCACTTTTCCAATTTGTTTTTGTTTAATGTTAGCAAGTACCTTCCCGGTTTTATGCACATTGGTGACACCAGTCTCATCACAATTGTACATCTGATTCGACTGGATATTCTATTTCGTTATTACACTTCTCAAGTTTGTGAAAAATGTAGCCACATTATGCTTGTTGAAGCCGGTGGCCCTGCCAAGGCTAGTTGCTTCTGGTTTTCTACGCGATAACATAGGGTGTCGTTTCCTAAAATTATTCAACCATTCGACTCCAGCTCGTTTTTTCTCGTGCCAAGTTCAAGGCACCGTTTTATTGTTAGTAATGGCATACTTACAAGCCAATTCACGAGTATGTATTAATGTTAAGCCGTAGCACATTTCACAAGCCTGAATTATGTACTCGCACAATAGCTGTTCCTATGTACTTGTAAATATTCTTTTGAAACCATGGGTTCGTCCATATTCAAAATCATTTGTATTGTCTTCATTAGCTTTATTAACTAATTTGAACTTCTTCACTTTCCGCTGTAGAGCTGACTTGCTTACACCATGCTTTTTGGACGCATTCATCAATGACATTTGAGATTCTTTACAACATCTTCTACTGCAGAATGCATAGATCTTGCATATACTTCATGATTCTCTAGGCTTTTCTCGAAAACTACTGACAGTTAGGATCTTGGATATCTCGGCATATTCAATTCTGCAAAGAATGAAAATGTTTAGCATGTTTTAGTATATTTCAGCATAGACCACATCCTATTATCATATCCTAGTATGGACCGCTTTTTTATTTCCACTATGGACCATGGCGCCTAAAAATACAAATGAGCAAAAATTTTATCGAAGTGGTAGAGCTAGGTTTAAATAGAATACGATAATATTGAGGTTATGTATGTTTTAGATATCCATACCAAATTCAAGTTAAATAGGATACATTTCGGCGAATTATTCGAAAAAATCTGAACATAGAAATAAAAATTTTCAGCTGATCACTTACCTGAATTTCCAAAATATCGAAACGCATAGTACTAATTGAAAAACTAACATAAGATTCGGAGGCGGCAATTTTATAATAGCACACACACTGAAATATAGCTCTACCGCGATGATAAAATAGCCAGGAGAGTGAAATTCCCACTATGGACCGCGTCCCACTATGGACCAGTTTACCCTCCATAGAGTAGTAACTATACCGTACTGAGGAGATCTAAAGAGATCGAAATACGTATATGCGGCTTGTTGCTGCTCTGTATCAAATCAAAATATAATACCGTCAATTTGTTCCCCTAGATTTGTTCAACATTAAAGAAAATATTAGAACGATTGGATAGTAAAAAAATATGTTATTGTATTAATAAGTTTAACCAACGTATATGAATTTTGAATTATTTTAATAAATAAAATTTAAGTTTACTCCAAAAGATTAAATTTTTTGTTTCCCTACCGAAGTTCCCAAAATGCATATTTTTCTAAAACTTCTACTATTATAGATGAATTGAACACCAAGTAAGAAACAGGCTGTGCCAAAATATTTTTGTTGTTTTTATCTTTTAAATATGTGAAAGACATTTAAGAATAATAATATATTAATTGGACTAACTGCCTCATTTAAATTGTTGTAATAGCCAACGGAGGAAATTGGCGAATATCCTATATACCACCACTGTTAGTTAGAAATATGCTGTGTCGTGTTTGTATTCTCTTAATTTTATTATTGAGAATTTCAATGTTTGTCAAATTTTTTGTTCTTGCTTGTTTGTGGTTAACGTAAGGAGAAGCAAGATAATAATAATAAAAATAATGCTATTAAAGCAAGATAAAAAGTGGAACTAGAAGTGCTTTATTGGAACAAAAGCAACTTAAAATAGCGGTAAAAAAAGTATAGATCTCACACAAATATCTTGCTGCCTGCGACAAAGGAAGCAAGTGAAATTTTCGCATCCATTCGTTAAGTTAACCACTACGTTGTACACTATTCCAAATGTTAAAGGTGACTGAGGGAGCCCTGTACCTGGCTACCTACATTACGAGAGTTGGAAATCTTTGGATTCCAAGCCTTACTTCAAAGGACTTGTAAATGGATGCATCTCCATAGGTTTGGTTCTTCAGTGACCGTTGAAGGATAAGGATTCTTAATGTGAGCAAATATACCTCCAGATAAATAAAATGACTTTTGAGTTTATCGATTTATAATTAAATCTTTTAAGAGTAGAGAGGCCCAACATGGCCGTAACTTACTATACAATATCAAATGTACTCTTTCTTTATAACACGTAAAAGAAAAAACACCGGTATGAGAAAATGCCCGATCTCGGCGAAGAGAATATTTAATGTGAAATGTGAGTTTTTAACTACTGTGCGATGCCTCAATGGCCATGTGTCAACTTGAACTGGTCTTACTGATCTGATAAAACACTACATAATGCTTGAACGGGAATACTACCCCTATTTCATTTAGATGAGAAAAATATTTAACAGGGTCAG